GGTCTSACTAAGTTGCCCAGGCTGGCCTTGAACTTGTCATAATCCTGCCTCAACCTCCTATGTAGGGGRAATTATAAGCATGTGTTCCTTGTGCCAGGCAACATCTGGTATTTCCTAACTTTGTAACTTTGCCAAACAAGTTTTTATTTTTCCAAATAGAGGTGTTTTAAAAATTGTTATTCTTAAATATAAGCTTTTGAATAAGAGAAAGGCATTTCAAATACCAATGAAMTATAAAGGCCTATTTTAGACTAGAGAGCAGAACATTTCTTTAAATTGAAAACCTTTACCTTTATGAAAAATTCACACATGGTGAGTGAAAACTAGCAGTGTTTGCCAGAAAGAGTTCTTTCAGGAAGACAGCATTCTATACTTCCATATTCCTAAGAATTCCCACTTGTTYACTCTAAAAGGGAAGAGTTTGCACCAAAAAGGAAGAAAAATTTTAAGGAGGCAAAGCAAGGATAAGCCCTATCCCAACTCACACACTGTTTAAATTCCCCTTGTGAGTCTAGCAGGTCATTTTGTTCCTTCCTAGTCCTCATCTAAGTTGTAACTGAATCTAAGTTTTCTATGCTGGGCTGCTGGGTGGGGCAGAAGGAGCTTTCTGAAAGAATGAAGGAAATGAAGGAAAGAACTACTCCACATTGTAAGTAATAAACTTGGCTTTCTATTCCCTCTAAGAGAAAGCCAAGGTAGAAACATAAAGTGAATTGAATAATATATAACATATATGTATGCATATATATCCACATATATAAAATTTTGACATATATTTATATTAAAATATATTTAATATTTATGTTTATATTTATATTTAAATGTATATTTGTATATTCACATATATTATTTATATATAACAGATGTTTTTTATATACTTTTTRTTTATATATTTGTATATAAACATATACTTACACATAAATATATCATATATATATATTTATTTCTCCTTTTAAGGAGCCCTCAATGCCTATCAGAGAAGAGGAAAAAAATTAATAATCTATATCTGCCTATGTGCTCTTCCTTATTATCTCCCCAATCCACTCCTCAGAGATAACTACTATTCTGACTTTGGTGTTTTAATTTCTTGTGTGCCTTTTTGTTTTTGTTTTTCAAAAGTTTTATCATATGTATGTATGTATGTGAATACTTAAACAATATGTTCCTTTGTTTTACCTGTTTTTAAACATTGTATAAAGGATCTTTTACTGCATGTTTGTTTTTATCACCTGGTGTTGATATTCTTTTTTTTTAAGAGAGAGAAGAGAGAGAGAGAGAGAATTTTTTAATATTTATTTTTCAGTTTTCGGCAGACACAACTTCTTTATTTTATTTTATGTGGTGCTGAGGATTGAACCTAGTGCCCCRAGTGTGCCGGGTGAGCGCATTACCGMTTGAGCCACATCCCCAGCCCCTGGTGTTTATATTCTTGAGATTCTTTTATGTTGCTGCATTATAGGTATGGTTTTTTCATTTTTACTRCTAGATAGCATTCCATTCTGTGAAAATAGCACAACTTGTTCATTTTACTATTGGTGGACATCTGAGTTGACTCCAAAATTTTGCTTTTCCAAATAGTACTACTTCGAACATTATGATACCTGACTTCTGATACATATATGCTAAAATTTCTCTTGGGGATTTACACCTAGGCATGGAATGCCAGGTGATAGGCTATGCAAATATTCAACTTTACTGGATATCAGATGTATGTGACACAGTCTGAAATATGTTTGACCTCTGTACCTGGGTCCTGACAATTCCTAAAACCCAGAGAAAGTCCTAAGTGTTACAGGTGAGAGGAACATCTTTTCTTATTTATAAGAAAAAAACTGTTGTGGAATTTACGCATATGAGGCAACTCCTGGGAAGATGGGGGTGGTTGCCAAAGAAACCAACCCTGTTATTAGAGGCTGAGAATTTTCAGCCCTACCCCCTGACCTCCAGGAAAAGAGGAACTGGAGATTGATCTAATCACTAGTGAAGACAAAGAGATGCTGGGAGTGTGGTGCACCCAGAGAGGGTGAAGAAACTCTGCATGCACCTTCCCTCACGTGTTTCCCTAAATAGCTTCCACTGGTTGTTAAGTTAACATGCACAGTTGGATGAGGAACACAGAAGTGAAACTCATCTCAGCCAGCTAAATGCATTCCTCCCCCGCCCCACTGAACTGATAGTTTTYATTATCTGTAAGTGAATTCTCTGTTTAACATGAGCTTACAGAATGCATTCATAAAAATGGGATCATTAACTGAAAACAACTCCTTGTAGAATGATCATGACATAGTATATTTTTGGAAATATACCCAGCACAGTATTGGCAGTCGAATTTCCTTTTTTTTTTTTTTTCCTGGTACCAGAGATTGAACCCAGGGGCACTTAACCACTGTGCCACTTCCCTAGCCCTTTTTTTGTATTTTATTTAGAGATAGGGTCTCTCTGAGCTGCTAAGTACTTTGCTAAATTGCTGAGTCTGGCTTTGAACTTGTGATCCTCCTGYCTCAAACTTCCAAGTCACTAGGATTACAATGACTGTGTGTGACACAGTAACTACTGTGTCACAACCTTTGCCTAGCTCCCATTTCTTTTTTACATCTGCCAAAGTCATGATATGTCTCTGGTCATTTCTTGGAACTCTTACTCACACAATTGTTAATCAGCCCTCTCAGACTGTAGTGGTATTATGGACTTCCACCAATTCCCCATTGCCTTCTGATCCTTCCCCTTGAAAATGCTAAGAACCACCATAAATCTATGTTAGAATTAGAATAATTCTATTCCTTCATTTTTCTGTGGCATATCTAGAAGGATCATGTGCACATATTTTGTAAATTGTTGTAGGTTAAAACTGTTCAGAATAAACGGCACAAAGGAAGGCTACAGTGAAAACTTCATACCACTTAATTCAGATAGAACATCCATGGGCAGAGGCCATTATAACATGGTATGCTAATCCATTGACCAAATGTTACTGTAGAGTCTGCCAGGCTAGCTCTCATTGGTTGAGAATGTAAATAGTAGTCCAAGAATAGAAAAACATATTATGATGGTACCAAAGATTCATACATACTTTTAAAAAGTATTTCAGAGACAGCTGAGCACTATGGCACATGCCTGTAATCCCAGTCAYTTGGGAGGCTGAAACCGGAGGATCACAAATTTAAGGTCAGCCTTAGCAACTTAGTGAAGCCCTATCTCAAAATAAGTAAATAGGATGGGAGATGTGGCTTAGTGGTAAAGTGCCCTTAGGTCCAATCCCCAGTACCAAATTAAAACAATTGATAATCTGGCAATGTAATATAATGTTATGCTTGATCATATATTTCTGAGCTCCAAAGATTCTGTGGGAAAATTCAATATACCCTATTCTAATTATGACTATCAGTATTACTGCCCCTCCATTCCAAAGTCTAATTCCTCTGTAGACAGAAACACTGCCTTGATTCTTCTTCTTCTTCTTCTTCTTTTTTTGGTACTGGGGATTGAACCCAGGGATGCTGTGTCACATCCCCAGGCCTTTGTTTTTATGTTGAGAGGGGCTTGCTAAATTGCTTAGGGCCTTGCTAAATTGCTGAGGCTGGCTTTGAACTTGGGATCCTCCTGCTTCAGCTCCTCAAGTTGCTAGGATTACAAGTATGGGTCACTGTGCTCCATCTGAGTTTTTGTTTGTTTGTTTGTTTTTTAGTTGCCTTTATTTTATTTCTTTTCATGTGGTGCTGAGGATTGAACCCAGAGCCTCACACGTACTTGGTGAGCGCTCTACCACTGAGCCACAACCCCAGCCCCCCTATCTGAGTATTCTTGACATAGTATAAATTCAGGCATAKAGCAGAGGCCAAGGTTTTAGTTTGATTGAGATGTTAAAATAAAATACAATAAACAGAGTAGCTTATAAACAACAGAAATTTATTCTCACAATTCTGGAGGCTGGGAAGTCCAAGCTTAAAGCAAGCAAACGGATTCAGGAACTGGCAAGGGCTCAATACACACACACACACACACACACACACACACACACACACACACACATATATATATATTTAGTTATCAATGGATCTTTGTTTCATTTATTTATATGTGGCACTGAGGATCCAGCCCAGGGCTTCACACATGCCAGGCAAACACTCTACCACTGAGCCACAACTCTAGCCCAGAGGGCTCACTTTCTGATTCCTAAAGAGCATCTTTTTGATGTGTTCTCACATGGCAAAAGGGCAGGCTAGTTCTGTAGGGTCTTCTTTATAAAGGCCCTAATCCCAATTATTAGGGTTCTGCTCTCATTACCTGATCTAGTCCCAAAGGTCCCTTCTATCAATACTATCACCTTAGGGATTAAGGTTTCAGTATATAAATTTTTGGAGAAATAAGCATTCAGACCATAGCACTGACTAAATAGTAGCATGTAATTAATATTTGCTTTAGGAGGTTGGAAGGAGAGGGTAATTAGTAGAGGGAAAGTCTCACTCCAGAGTCTAATACTTGGCTATCCTTAGGCTGGGGTTTCTCAACTTTGGCGCTGTTGGCATTTTGGGATAGATTATCTTTTGTTAAGAGAAAGAGGATGTCCTGTGCATTATAGGATAGTTAGCAGCATTCTTGGCTTCTCCTGACTAGATGCCAGTGGCACACACATCCCTTTTGCCTTGTGTGAGGACAAAAATGTCCAGGGAACAAAATTGCCCCCACTTGATATTGCTATATGAAATCCATCTCCATTTTTTTTTTCTCTTTAAGTCACCAGGTTCTGGCTTGGGGAACAGAAATTCCTGATCTGGAGAGAACACAATGATGTTGTCATGCTATAAGAATAAACAATTATAGTTAAACTCCAATTATTGTTTCATACAAATTTATTTATATGCCCCCTAATTCCATTGTTCTTATAAGACACTGAGGACAACTTGTAAAACTATGCATGTGTGCAGAATAGAAAGACAAAAGTAGAAAATATTGGACTTATTGGGGATGGGTGAGCCAGATCATGGTTGAATAGTGTACTTTCACTTGACAGGAGCCTTTGTGGTTTCAGGCTTCAGGTGGCCAGATAAGTCCCTCAGCTCTATGACCAGGTGACCAAGAAGAGCTCTTACATCCTGCATGAGTTTGAGAAGAATGCTCATCTGGTGATGCAGGTGGGGATCTGGAGAGGAGAAGCCTCGGTGCTCAGAAGAAGGGGTAGCTAGTGGAGGCAGAGGGCCAGGGGGCTCCTTAGAAGTCGTTTCTGGAGCAGCCAGTTTCTGAGGAGCTGGATTCAAGGTGGGCGATTCAGCAGAGCTGGAGCGACCTGGATTATATGGCAAAAGGCACATACAAGAATTAAATCTGGGCCTATTGTCATAGCAGTCTTTTTCATTCTCTGAAATGGCTTTGGGTTCCAGTGGCAAAAGGGACTTGAGGACTCTAGTGTCCCTCCTAATCCAAATTTTAATCTGAAGATTGGCTATCTTTTCTTGAACATCCTAGCAAGAAGACCTTATCATTAGATGGACTATTAACCAATGTTTCCTCTTTCAAGACAAAATCTAATTCACTGAAGCATGGATATATTATACCGTCCTAAGCAACCTCTTTATTATATAAGACGTTAGTCTAATTCTTCATTCGTGGCCCTGTTGTTAGCTTTTTGAGGACATCAGTGTTGGTCCCCTAAACCACCTCCTCTTTAGGATGGGCATCACCAGTTCCTTCTATTATTTTTCATCTCACTTGGCTTCAGGCTTCCTCATCACACTAGACAACTCCTCTGAATGTATTTCAGGTCAAGTTCTGGATGGTAGCTCCCAGATTTTCACATGGATTTTATCCCTCATTCTAGAGATTATATTCCTGTAAATGCCCAGAAATGATATAAGGAAYCTAAGTTCTATGAGGCAGTGCACGTAGGTCTTGGTTCAATAGCGTTGGCACCATGGTTTGAGGGAGAAGTTCTCTATTTGGGCTCTTTTCTATGTCCTTTCTTTCTTTCTTTTTTTTTTGGTGGGGTGRTACCAGGGATTGAACTCAAGGTTGTACAACCACTGAGCCACATCCCTAGCCTTTTTTTGCATTTTTATTTAGAGACAGTTTCACTGGGTTGCTTAGTACCTCGCCTTTGCTGAAGTTGGCTTTGAACCCATGATCCTGCCTCAGCCTCCTGAGCCTTTGGGATTATAGGTATATACCACTGTGCCTRGCTTTCTATGTCCCCACTTCACCTTCCTACGCTGAACCCAGCCCATGGATCCAGTCATCCTGTACCCATCTCCTTGTTGTCACACACAAACCAAAGAGACACATACAYACTTACCCTGCACCCTGATTTCTAGCTGGGAGCTCTGTTTCCAAACTTGCCCATCTTCAGTGGCTGCCTCACACCAGTAGGACCCAGAGTGCTCCACGGAGGCTGTGGGGACCTGAAATTCTGAGGAGAGGCCCTTGCTGCGCACTGTTCTTCCATCCTTGTAGAAGGAGAAGAGGAGGCGGGCGGCTGACCTCTGCAGGGACAGCTTTGTCTGACAGCTCAGAGTCACTGGGCTTCCTTCTTTGGGTTCAGCAGACGGMGAGGCTCTGAGCACTGGGGCTGCAAACAGTTCTGAGGGAAAGGTAAGCAAGAAAGAAGAGCTCAGCCATTCTGTAYTCAAGTAGGACCGTGAGGGGCCAAGCAGCCAGGTCAGAGGTCCTTTCCTCCTTTTCCACCAGAATTTTTTTTTTTTAAAGAAAGATTCCTCTTGAACTTTTGTTTTGTTTTCACAGAACTGCTGATTAAAACCAGAGCCTATGACTAGGCAAGTGCTCTACCATTGAGCTACATCCCAGTCCTTTTAAAATTTTTATTTTGAGTCAGGGTCTCACTAAGTTGCCCTTGCTGGCCTCAAACTTGTGATCCTCCTGCCAGCCTCTTGAGTAGCTGGGATTACAGGTGTGTGTCACTTCACTCAGCCCCATTTGACACCTCTCTCTCTCTCTCTCTCTCTCTCTCTTCTCCCTCTCTCCTCAACTAGACAGAACCAGTAAAGATCCAGAGATGGGCAATAAGATAGCAGTCCAGATACCCAATCTACAATTGACAGAAAGCATAGATCTGGGTGGTAGGAAACACTGAACTCTGGGTGGGGTTGATGATTTTAAAAGGCAATGCTGTCGGGCTGGGGATGTGGCTCAAGCGGTAGCGCGCTCGTCTGGCATGCGTGCGGCCCGGGTTCGATCCTCAGCAGCACATACCAACAAAGATGCTGTGTCTGCCGAGAAAAAAAAAAAAAAAAAAAAAAAAAAAAAAAAAAAAAAAAAAAAAAAAAAAAAAAAAAAAAAAAAAAAAAAAAAAAAAAAAGGCAATGCTGCGATTTTGACACTCCTGAAACTCCAATTGGGCATTTGCTAGCAATCTGTTCCTCAAGGATTTAATGATCTTTCTACCCCTCACACCAAAGAAAAACAATTTTGGGCTCCCTGTCCCTTCTTACTTGATTTTACCACAGCAATGCTGACTCTAGCTCTTACCTTGGACTGTGATAGCCACTGTAGATGTTGTTTCTGGGCTCCCTGGACCGGGGCTTCTAAAGATGGCACTGCAGTGGTAATGCCCACTGTCTGCCTCTTGCACCACAGCGATGGAGAATTCCTTGTTTGGTCCAGGGGGACCCAGGGCTGAACCATCTCGGTAGAAGGTGACCTGAGTCAGTGGCCAGTCTTGCCAGGCCCGGCAGCGCAGAACCAGTGGATCTCCTTCAAATATGGGTGTAGCTGGGCCTTGGAGGATCAGCCAGTCTAGCCCAGAGGAAGAACTGAGTGTTACCCACTGTCTCACTTGAGAAAACCCCCAGGGATGCCCAGAAGAGGCTCTCTAAACTTTCCTTAAGGGTCTATTCATGTAAATTCTCACCCCTTAATACCTTACTGAAATGCTTCTGTCAACTCGCCTTAGCAATGGGAAACCCGTTTCTCTGTCCTCCTTTCTCCCCCAGACCCCCTACTCACGGKCTGTGCTGGTGACTGTGGAACAATTTTTTGCCTCCAGTTTAAAACTGGATTTCTCACCACATCACCTTGACCCATCTCTAGACCTAGTGTGGGACAATTTCTCCAGGGCCTAGAACTAAGGATCTCCTGGCTGCTGGGGGCTGAAGATGAGTCCTCAACCTATGGCCAGTTTCCTGAGTGGGTCATTTTCCTGAGTGGGCTGTGGAGCTAAAAGAAGGAGTTTGGGACACCAGTTAGGTCTTCCGAGGACCTTACCATAAGACACGAKCAGATGGAAGGGTTCACTGAAAGTGTAGCCCTTGACCTGATAGTCAGTTTCCCTTGGGTCCTTCAAGTCSTCATCCATGTGGCAGTCACTCTTCTCAGTGCTGACAGGTCCTTCACACTGCAGAGTCTCAAAACTGGCAGCTGAAGAGGGTATGTCCCAAGGAGAACCAGAAAATGATGCTGTAACTTAGAAAAAGGGGACAGGAATTCGCCCTCCACAAGAGTTCCCCCTTTCTCCTGGGGCAACCATCCTTTTCAGAATGAGAATAGGAAGACATCAAAATCTTTTTTTTTCCAAGAAACTCTTGGGTGGGGATGGGGGTTGTCTCTGGGAGGAATGGTTTTGACCTTGGTTCACTGATATCCATGTGCTCTCACTGTGGCATTGGGAAGTGGAAAATAAAAGAATAAAAGGAGGTGAATCCAGCAGCCTGGCATCCAGGAAATGAGGAACCAAAGACAACCATGACCCCAGAGCACACAGGCATAGGACAAGAGAGAAAGGCAAACATCAAATTCTGACACTCACTGAGTATTTGCTGTTTGCCACTCACCGCTAGCAATTTTGTGCATTATTTCATTTACTCTTCACAAGCTTTCCAGGTAGGTGACTTCATCTCCATTTTATAATTTTTTCAAGAAACGAGCTTTAGRAAAGCAAATTAATACACCCAGAGTTTAAAAAGAAAATAAAGAATGAAGCAAAAAAGTCAGGTGTGCTTGAGCTCAAACTTAGTGTTCTTTTTACTTCACCGTGCAGACATGGTCTAATTCAGTGCTCAGACTTGCCTTGGGGACTTTCATCCATATTCTCATTTTCCCAAAATACAAAATACTCGTCAGCCTAGRTATGCTACCTATGAAAGAGCTTTCAGTCCCTAGCTGGGTCTCTCCTCCCTCCTTGCTCCCCTTTCAGATCTTCATTTGTTCAGTCATCTTTACTTTAATGATCTCTGCCTCTTAAACTTTCCCTAGCAATGGCAGAACCCTTTCTTTCTCCTCCCCTCTACCCTGATGCCCCATTCCCAGACTGAACTGGTAACTGTGGAACAATTCTTTGTCTCCAGGTTGTTAGTCTTTAGGGTTAAAGATTTATCACCACATCTTTTTCCTACCTCTTACTTTCATGATTGATCCAGGCAAGGTAAATGCCATTTCTTCCATTTCTGAGACTATTTCTTGTCCTTGTTAGTCTCTCTCCCTGCTCCCTGTCATGGGGCCATTCATGCATGCTCACTTCTTCATTCCATCCTTTCCTGTCCCATTTGTCTTTGCTCTTTTCCACTCCCAATGACCCCAGRCTCTTCTTTGACTTTGTAACTCCCCTTATCAAGCCTTCTTTCTATTTCCCAGTACCAGGTGCTTTCCTTACCACCTCCGTCTGCCCCCTTTACTACTCTGCAACCTCTTTTCAGTTCCTCCTCTGTCACTCCGTTGGCCTCCGCCTCCTCTGCTTTAATCCATTTTAAGGACAAAAAATCTTGTTGGGCTTCCAGGCATTTTCACTCAATAAATCTTATGTGGAAGTATTATCACTTTACAAATTAGAAAACTGAATTCAGAAATATAAAAAGTGACTTTTTCAAAGTGATGTAAAGCTACTAACTAGAAGAAGGGCTTGATCCCAAGTCTGCAATTCTTGTCACAAGGAAAAAAAAAAAGAATATTGTCAGATAAAGAAACTGTGGTATATATACACAATAGAATATTACTCAGCAATAAAAGAGAATAAAATATGGCATTTGCAAGTAAAGRGATGGAGTCAGAGAATATCATGTTAAGTGAAGTAAACCAATCCCAAAAAACCAAAGGCCAAATGTTTTCTCTGATAAATGGATGCTGATCCATATGGGGGGCGGGGAGCAGGGGATGAGTGGAGGAACTTTGGATTAGCCAAAAGGGAGGAAGGAGAAGGYAGGGGGCATGGGGATAGGAAAGATGGTAGAATGAGACGAACATCATTACCCTAGGTACATGTATGATTGCACRAATGGTGTGACACTATTGTATGTAGAACCACAGAAGTGAAAAACTGTGCTCTATTTGTGTACAATGAATCAAAGAGCATTTTGCTATCATGTATAACTGATTAGAACAAATAAATAAAACAAAAGAACATTGTCCCTGGCCACAAACAGCTATCAGTTTAGTGGGAAACACAAGTATATGAAGAGATTATTTCAGCATGAAGAAGAAAGTAATAAGAAAGAGGTTTTCCAGGCAGCCATCAGAACAGAACTGAGGGTTCAAGGAAGGCTTTTCAGAGAAGATGCCACCAAGACTGCCCTTCTTGATATCTAGAAGTTTATAAAGGTGGAGAGGACCAGGAGGCCAGCAAGAGAGCWCATTTTAGGCAAAGATAGCAGTATCTGCTAAGCAAAGCCTTGGAGAGAGTAGAGTYCAGGTGTGCATGTATAAATATAAGCCAATAGAGATTTATCAAAGTATAAGTTGTGAGACTTAGAGGGTGGCTATAGAGGCTAAAGAGTCTAAACAGGTGCCSGTTTTGGGTAGAGTTTGTGTGCCATCACAAGAAGCTTAGGCTGACAGATTTTAGAGGTCACTGTAGCTGCAGGGTGCAGAATTGAAGGACACAAGGCTGATACAAGATTAGTTAGGAAATTATTGTACTAGCCCCAGACACATAGGATGAGGGCTTGTCCTAGAGCGTTAGTAATGTTTCAGGGAAGAACAATTTAGGAGACAAAATTTGCCAAATTTGATTGATTGCTCAGTTATAGAGAAGACAGAGAAGGAAGAGTCAGGTTGTCTCTTGGATTTCTGACTTGGAGATCACAGTGGATGCTGATGCTATTAGCTGAAGTCGGAAATAGTGAAAGAATGAGTGAGAAGAAGTGGGAGCCAGGACAGGGGTGTTCGTCTCCAAATACCTCTCGGACACATAGATAAATATGTCCTGTATGAAGACTGATATTTGAATGTGAAGGTCAAAAGCATGATTAGGGTTGAAGATCTGATCTGGAACTCTTAAACATACAGTTATTATGGCAAAAGTTATGCAGACAATAAACTCATAAAGGAGATTTCATAAAGAAAGAAGAGTGGAGAGACAAGGATATTAACTAAGGGAACATTCAGGTATAAGGGGAAGAAAAGAGAAGTTCCCAAGGGCCCAAAAGAAGTACATGGGGCTGGGGATGTGACTCATCGGTGGCCCGCTCGCCTGGCATGCGTGCGGCCCGGGTTCGATCCTCAGCACCACATACAAACAAAGATGTTGTGTCTGCGGAAAACTAAAAAATAAATATTGAAAAATAATTCTCTCTCTCGCTCTCTCTAAAAGAAAAAAAAAAAAAAGATACTTTGGGCTGGGGATGTGGCTCATGCGTGCGGCCCAGGTTTGATCCTCAGCACCACATACAAAGATGCTGTGTCCGCCGAAAACTAAAAAGTAAATATTAAAAAAAAATCATCTCTCTCTCTTTAAAAAAAAAGAAGTACATGAAGTACAAAGAAAAAATGGTGAATTGGAAGTCAGGGATGTAAGGCATGCAAGAAGGAGTAAGTGATCGCTGGATGTGGTGGCAGATGTCTATAATCCCAGCAGCTTGGGAGGCTGAGGCAAGAGGATGGCGAGTTCAGAGCCAGCCTCAGCAAAAGCAAGGCATTAGGCAACTCAGTGAGATGTTGTCTCTAAAAAAAATACAAAAGAGGGCTGGGAATGTAGCTCCGTTATTGAGTGCCCTGAGTCAATCCCCGGTACCTCCTTCCCCAAAAGAGGACGTGATCAGCAGTGCCCAGTGAGCAGAGATGTTCATCAGGAGAAGAATGGGAAAGTGTACAACGATCGATTCTATCTGAATGGAGATCATTGTGCCCTATGCAAAACTTTTCTAGTGGAAACCAGACTACAATCATTGAAACGTGAGAAGTGAGGAAGCAGAGATAGCCAAGTACAGACCACTCTTTAAGGAAAATTGTATCAGAAAAGTAAGAGTTGAAATTGTGTCTAGAGAAGACGACATTGTAGTCAGATGGAAAAGGCCTCAAGATTTTTATATTCAGAAAGAGCCATTCAGTCCTGCACACCAAACACACTCTCTCTCTCTCTCTCTCTCTCTCTCTCTCTCTCTCTCATACTGGGGATTGAACCCATGGCCTGGCACATGCTAGGCAAATGCTCTACCCCCTGAGTTATACCCCCAGTCTGCATCAAACTCTCTTATATCTAGGCTTCTTATCCTACCTAACCAATTCTTTGGAGGGCCAAAGTTAGTCCATGTTTCTTTGCTCTGAGTCTTTTCCCAAAGTCAGGCATATCTCTATTCTCATACCAACATTCAAACATTTTACTTACCCACCAAMAAATGAGCTGCCCAGAGTACGGCAGAGGGAATATAGAGGGCCCAGGCCATGGGAACACAGCTCAGCTTCATGGTAAATGCGTCTAGGTCTTCTGCAACCCAAACACACTGATTTTCTTCAACATGAAACCTCTCGAATTAGAAAAAAGGAAGTAAATCTAACTGTCTCATCTCTATGCACCTGTTGTCAAGTTTGTAATTGGCTTTCATCATTCAGATTTGTTCAGGTTATTTCTGGTGCCATTTGTATCCTTAAGATTGTGGATGAAATGATAGCACCCTCAGTTCTTCAATATTCCTTTGAAGAGCACAGAGACCTTTCAAAAACATGTGATTATCTGATAATCAATTGGCCTTCATGTGCACTCTGGGAAAAGTCAATATCACTGGTGAAACATCTGGGARCAGAAGGTGGAAAATTGCTTGAAGAAAATCATGGAGAAATCAATGATATGAATTCAAGTGCCCTGTTTCAACCTGCTCCAAGCYTCCATGTTTCTAGTGACTAGAAGTAGCAAGACAGAGGGGAAATTATTGGCAATGGCACCAAGGCAGTTACCAGATTAATTCTTAGTAGGCTCTGACCGTCCAAAACCAAAACAAATTTGTACTCAAATTTCTCTAGATTCATAACTCAGTTCTCTGATCCTGCAGGACAACGTAGACTGTTCAGTCTCATTGGAAGTCTGAGTAAGGCAAGGAAGARTCTCCTGAGAAAGAGCAAAGGAAAAAAGAAATCAACTTCCAGAGGCCCCAGAAGCAAGCCCAAGGCTCAGGCTCATAGCCAAAGCTCAAGCCACTGATCCTGAGGAAATTAGAGACAGGAGGCATCTGATAGCTTTAGAAACTTGAGGAGACCTCAGAATAAGGGCAATACAGAGGCTACAGCATCCCTCTTTGGCTCTAGGTGGCCTTAAATGAGAATCATTGTTCCTGCCTACAATAGTTTCCTGTTTGACTGAGACCTTCTCAATGGCAGGCCCACTCCTCTTCTTACAGTGACCACACTCTTCCCCATTCTCCACTCATAACACGCACCAGGGTCCCCATAGSTTATTCAGAAATGAGATAAGCCACAAGAAATGGGGAAAGGCAGTCTCACTTAAAGTCAAAAGGAGGAACAGCATGACCAATCAGTTGTGCAAAAGCCACAGATCAAAGCAGACAAAAAAGCAAAGTGGGTATGAGAAAGTGGGTCTTTCTCAATCTAAAATAAGCATTTAGAATAAATTTTCCATTATCTGAGAAGCATGTTTTTATGCAGGTGGCCTCAGGGAGTTCAGAGGTGGTTGAATATGGGTGTGGGGTGGGGGGAAGGCAGTGAGGCAGTACGCCCTGCAGCTGATGTGTTATGAAAGACCCAGCAGCCTCAAAGAGGAAGAAAAATCTAACCAGTCCTAATAAAAATTCAATAAATGAAATGTGTTTAGATGGACCTTCACCCTTAACAGTCCCATAGCACAGAGAACCTCAGGGTTACATAAGGTGCTTCTTTAAAATCACAAAAATCTTTCCCTTCCCAGGCTACCCCTTCTCCTTAACTGCCCTACCCATAATGTCATCCCTAGATAGAGGCATCATCTAGGTACCCTATACCATCTGCATCAGTTCTTATAGGATCCCACTCTCAATGTAGAAAGCAAGAAGGTCTCTGAAGATCTTGCTTGAAAATCTTTATAATCCCCACTAAACCACTGAGAAATTTTTCTTCATCAAATTCTGACRAATGAACTGTTTAGAAGAGGTGTAATTTACTAGGTTTAAAAAAAAAAAAAAGCAACAGCTTTCTCTTATGGATGATCCTATCCCAAAGCTTCACTACCTCCACTTCACAGTCTCACCCACTATTATGRTTTAAATCTGGATTGTCTTCCAAAGGCTCATGTGTTGAAGACTTGGTTCCCCAAAATAGCAGTGTTCAGAGAAATGAACGCATCATGAGGGCTCTGACCTCATATGTGGATTAATTCATTGAGGAATTTATAATTTGGACTTTTAGGAGGTGGGACTTAGTAAAAGTGAGTGGGTCCTAGGGGCCAGTGCCCTTGGGACTATATCTTGTCCTGTGCTTTTTTTCTCTCTCTTTTTCTCTGTCTCTCTTTTTTTCTTCTCTGCTACCTACATGCTATGAGCTGAACACTTTTCTTCATCATGCCTTCTGCCATGATGTTTCTGCCCAGAGCAATGGAGCTACACCAACATGGATTGAAAYTTCATTCTGAAACCATATACCAAAATAAATATTTCCACCTTTAAATGGTTTATGTCAGGTACTTAGGTCATAGTAACAAAAAGTTGTTTAACATACGCTCTAACCTATAGCCAATGTAGGTTTAATGTAAACAACCTAAGTCTTCCTTCCCCAAATTTTCATAGAAAAATAAATKCTCTTATTTCTGGTCTGGCAGACATTTTCCAACTGCTACCTTGCACTGATGCTGGTAATTATGGGAATTTCTTCTAGGACCCAGGCAGGGTTTTTTGTTTGTTTGTTTGTTTGTTTATTTGTTTTGTTTTGGCTAACATTTACAATGGCTCAATAAATCCTTTTATTTCAGAAACTCCTCAATCCTAAAAATTTTAGGTTAATACTTTTACTTTCACRCTTCATAAATGAGGTTGGATAGTTTGTGACTATCCCATTTGTCAGATTTCTTAACACAAAGTTTTTTTTTTTTTTTATCTTTGTTTATTTGGGGTCCTAAGATTGAACCTAAGGGTGCTCTGCCACTGAGCTATATCYCCAATCCATTCTATTATATTTTGAGAATGGGTCTTGCTAAATTGCCTAAGTTGGTCTTGAACTGGCCTCAACCTCTTGARGGATCATAGGTGTGAGCCACCATGCCATGTGACATAAAGTGTTTATAAATAATATTCCTTGAAGATTGGCATGGTGGAGCATACCTCTTATCCCAGTGACTTGAATCACAAGATTGAGGCCAGCCTCAGCAACTTAGTGAGACCCTGTCTCAAAATAAAAAAATAAAAAGGTCTGGGGATATAGCTCAATGGTACAGTGTCTCTTGGTTCAATCCCCAGTACAAAATGCACGTGCGCGTGCGGTGCGCGCACATACACACAAAACACACACATTCCTTTATTATCTATAGCAGCCCTGTGGCTATTGAATACTGTCATGGCTTAGTGCATAGTATTGGAATCTGTAGTGATATAAGGCCAACTTTTACCCTCAGTCTCTAGAAGTATGGGAATCTCATCTCACTGCCATGTAGGTCTCATTTTCATATAGAAAACTTACATATTCCTATAAGACAGTTTCCTGAACTGTTCTTTCAACTTGACTGCTGGCAGTAAAAAAGGGAATTAAGAAGCTTTATGGAAGATAGTGTCCTGGGCTCTTTCCTTTGAAAATCAAAACTGCTTGAAGTTCTTGGGTCATAGACAATTTTTGTTAAAGGTGCATTTTTAAAATTCTGTTTGTAATGTTTGCAGGTTTGCTTAACAAAACAGCTTAACAGAGTTATTCTAAACTGGCATGTCACAGAGGTAGGCAGAGTGGTTTGTTTGTTTGTTTGTTTCAGTTCTGGGAATTGAATCCAGGAGCACTCTATCACTAAGACACATCCCCACCCACCACACACACCCTTTTTTATTTTATTTTGGGACAGGGTCTCACTAAGTGAGCTGGGGCTGGCCTTGAACTTGCAGTTACTCCCCTGCCTCAGCCTTCCAAGTAGTTGGGACGATAGGCGTGTGCCACTGCACCACTCTTGGCAGGCAGGTTCTTGCTGGAGCCCCAGATGAAGGTTTATCTTCCTTTTCTTTGCAGCTTTATTTGAGACTGCCATCACAGGGCACCACCTCCAGCTCTCAGCTCCCCACAGATTGGTTGATGTAAGTTGTTAATTAGTTGAAATAAGTCTCTCAATTTCCTTTTTTTAAAATAGTATTTTAGTTGTAGAGGGACATTCAATATCTTTGCTTATTAATTTATTTTTGATGTGGTGCTAGCATTGAATCAGTGCTCTGCCACTGAGCTAGAGCCCCAGCCCTCAATTTCCTTTTTGAAGTAGGATATCTAGCAGAACCACTGGCTTCTTTCCCCAATGTGTGTAACTGAGAAAATTAGTGTCAATGGCCTGCTTCTAATCTGACAGAAAATTCCTATAAGTATCTGTTTTGTGTGGTAATGCAGAAATATTAGATTATTAGTTATAACATCATTACCCAGGGAATTTTTTTTTTTTTT